ATCATCATTCTTTTCAATATCTTTTACCATAGCCCATGGATTCATGATGCGGTCTGTTAGGTAAGAATTCTTTACACACTGGTATATTTGACATGTACCTGCTGTGTGTAGGAGTGTAAAATTTGCAGCTCACATTTGTATCTTCAGAATGAACAAATATATGTTCTGTAGCAATTTGGTAGGAAAGTGAAACATTTACAACATGTTTTATTATAAACATGAAATCGACTTGTCTTAAGTTGACAGGGGTCCATGCTAATAAATGAATGAATGTGTTTTTGTTTCAGTGTTGACTCAGCATCTGGTGCTTTTGCTACTAATGAGGATGGAACAGTCATGGACACTGGAGGTAATAAACAGACAGCACAGTTAGTATTGGCAGAAGAATGCTACCGAGGTTTTCTCTTTAATTGTTAAGTTCGTAATGTCTTCAGATTTGATAGACTTCATGGAATGCATGCGTGTTCAATATATCCTGCAAATTCCAACAAGTGAAAATCCTGAAAATAGTTGAGGATTCTTTATAACCAGGCCTACACTCTGTTACTAAATGTTTCTATGTAACAGGTAGATTGCATGTTTGAATTCAAGATTTCTTTCACAACTATCATCCTTAGAAGTCAAGAGAAAATAAGCAAATTTATTTTTTATTAAAAATTAACCATTCAAGCTTATGATTTTCACTATCTATCATGTAATAGAAAGTGAGTGGAGAAGCCAATGAGTCTGAAACATTTGTGATCAAATGTTTTTAGATTTATAATAAGATCTGATAGACATTGTGGAAATAGAGATTTAACTTAGGTAGCCTCTGACTTACCAATGTAATTGTTGAATCACTCTTTTTTCCTTTAACTAACAGGTGAATGGTTTGCCACATTTTTTCTTTAGATTTATCTAGTGGTCTGGTGACAGTCAGCAGCTGTGTAACGAGTGCAGTGCCACCTCAGACTCCTGCCACTCCTCTTACACCTATGATGAGTCCTTGTCCCCCAATCATGACACAGGCAGCAGCAGTCAGACCTGAAGGGCAACAGACCATCACAGTTACTTTACCTGTTACACCTCTCCCAACAGGAGATGCAGTCGTAGATCAGAGAAGACATTGGTGGCATATTGAAGAGGTAAATAAACAGATGCATTGGAATGTACATGTAATTAATGATGTTTAACCAGGTAGCTGTTATAAGTATAAAATTGTCTTACCTTACAGGTGGGGATGGATTTTCTATTTTTAATTTTGTTGTTCAAATATTTTATTAAGTATTTAACTTACATGTTAAAATAATCATACTTCCAATGATTAGTATGGGTACAATATGTGATAAAAACTACTTGTATAGTACATATTGTACCTACCTAATGAAGATTCCCCACGTATACTGTGAATGAAATGAAAGTGAAATGCATTTCCAGTCTCATACTGTATTTATATTAGTTATTAAAAGCTGTAGAATTGGAAATTTTGTGAGGCAGGATCTTTCATTCCATTTTGTGATATCAAAACCGCAAGTTTTCAAAGCAGAGATTAGGACATTTTATCATCATACTGAATATTACTTTAATTGTATGATTTGTAGATGGTGAACTCTTTGTTGAATACAGCTCAGCAGTTGAAGGGAATGATAGAACATGCTAAGCTGCAAGCAGAAGCATCAAAGGATGCAGCCATCACTCAGGTCAAACTTCAGGCAGAAGCAGAAAAGAAAGAGGTTGGCGCAGTAGGATTTCTTTTAAACCTACTACTCTACATAAAATCCTTGAAACATCTTAGTACACTTTGCTGTTACTGTCAATGTGCTGTCTGTATTTTGTGTTTGGTTGATTTTGACATAATTATTGCGCTAGTCATAAAATCACTTTATCTAATTCAAGAACGTCTCAAATAACATTTCCAGATTGTAAGAGATTCTAAATGAAACAGTTTTTGCAAAGGATTAAGATATGTGCTCTCCAATATCCTGAAACAAACATGTGGCAATAGTTTGGTATGATAAGGTACACTGTATGCACAGTGTATAGGTGCATGTGCTGGCATACATGTGGCTGTATGCACAGTGTATAGGTGCATTTGCTAGCAAACATGTAGCTCTACGCACAGTGTATAGATGCATGTGCTGGTGTACATGTAGCTCATCATGTCTGTCTTAAAACTCTGTTGTGGAGTGATGATTCGTGTTGCAGATTTGATTGAAGAATTTGGATTTCATTTCAATTTAAACCCAAAGAAAGATTATATGTTCTAAATAATTTTATTATCTGGACATCACATTTTTCTATGTAATAGAACTAAAAATTTATTTTTTCATAGTTTCATATACTTTATGTTTAGTTATTGTTAATGTGAACAACATCTTTGTAGGCCTTGGCACAAGCTCGCATGAATTCTCTGATGCAGTTTTCCCGGGCATTAAATGATGCTCGAGTGGAGAAGGAAGCTGCCATAGCACAAGCTGTGGCACAAGCAAAAGCTGAGAAAATGGAGGCTGCTGCTGATGAACGGCAGGAACAACTTATCAAGGTAACAGGCAAGACAACACATAGCTTCTTTGAATGACAATGTGTGTGATTTATTTATTTATTATACTGTATTGGTATATTTGCTTTGGTGACTATAGAGATACTTGCACTCTGATGGTCGAGGATGCATCATATCTCATTCTAATCCCCCCATGCAAGGTGGTTATAGTTGGGGTGCTAAATTTAAAAATGGCTGCTTTGCATTTTGTCAATATTAGGCTGAAAGTGGTAATGCAATAGAACAAACTAAAATTCAGAAGAACACAAAAGATGCCACTCAGTTTGATATAACTCTCTTTAAAAGAATACAATGAAGTTTTTGCCACTGGAAATGAATAAACCTGTTGAATTATAGTGGAAACTGACTGCCTATCCCAATATGAGTCATCTAAACAATTGGAACAGAATGGTATCAACAAAAAACAAATTTTCAGAATTTAAAAGCACCTGGGCAATTGTACTAAAACAATTATTTGCCTCTGGCTCAGTGATTATTGTTGAACAATCTCATCAACTTTATATTAGGGATTATTCAACAATAGTCATTTGGCCTTTGCAAATAATTGTTTATTGATCGATTCAATAATTTGAACTGTCACTGTCACCAGTCACAGATTCACATGTTCGTGAATGTGCTACTTAAGCAATAGACCACTAATTTACTGGTGAAATACCTTACATGTGATGTTTGGAGAACACAAGAAAAGTTGGTCAATCATGAACCAGACCCAAGTGATTTGCAAAATTTTCAAGTAACTTGTATATATTAAATTTATTTGAAAGTAAGAAATATGAATAAAGTATTTTTCAAAGAGTCACTAATAGTTTTCCCACTGGGATGTTAGCACTCTTTAACACAGCATCATCCCTGTTCCTCCAAGTTACCTCTGCACCATCTCTGCTCTCCTTAGAAAGGAGGGGCTTTCTTCTTTACAGTTTTTATCAAACAACTGTTGCCTTGATACAAATTGCTAATAGGAGTTTTTGTTTTCACAGTCCCTCAATGGTGGTGAAGGTGAAATAGCAATGGAAGAAGACCCCTCAGTTGTTGAGGAAGGAGAAAAGAATGGTGTGGAATAGAACCAGATCAAGTTGAAACTAACCTACCTTTAAACTAAACTGAGAAATGAAGAACCTCTCAGTGATACATGTGCATGTATTGTGGAATGCTTAACAGACTAAGAGTTGCTTTTGAAGCTCCAATGAAATTGCCTAAGAGGTGTCAGGAGTACTGCTGAGAGGAAGTTTCCCAGATTGTTTGATACAAGAATTATTCACCTGTGACAGCATTTCTTGATTTCATTCATCGTCCAAGCATTGTGCTTATCACTTAAATTCTACTTTACATGTATCTTTGTCAATATTTCATTAGGGTGATCTGCCCTTGACAGTCTACCTTAGGAAAAGTATGAACTACCTTTGCTTCTGCAATTTTTTCATGTAGTAGCATAGACAGTGCTGTAGTTTCTCAAGACATTTGGCAATGTCGTTGAATAACACCATACAACCCTTTTACGTAGTTCTCTTTTCTATTTGAGCATTGCAAAAGAAAATGAAAGTATTCATAATGGCCAATAAAGTAAAAAGAAAACATCACAAGGAGCTTATAAGAGGAATCAATGGATAAAGTGAAGCAGAAGCAATGCAATTGGGAATAACTTTTGGACACTCAGTTGAAAACTGCTCAAATTGTTTTTTACAAAAGGTAGTGAGCTATCTAGTTATTTCTCTGGTCATTAGTGTTTTTCACCTTTTAAACAGAGATGGGGGCCAAGGGTATTTATTGTTATGTTTGAGTTCACAGTAAGGAGCAAACATGCTTCTCCCTCTCTCTCTTTCTTTCCTCCTGGAAAGGATAGAGAGAGAGAGAGAGAGAGAGAGAGTGCCTGGCAAGAAGCTTCACATACAGCATGACTGATTAGATTTAGACTGGGAGCCTCAGTTGTCCACTGTTGTAAATATTTGTAGCTAACTGGGTTTGAGTCCTTCCAGTTGGCTTTCTTAACTCGTGTCATTACACTGCTGAGGATAGGCAAACCATACACATTTTGTGACTGCATATACATTTATGTATGTTTGTATTTGTTGAATTTGTAAAATAATAACATTGGATCTTTATAAAATGTGTATCTTGTTGGTGGTCCTCACTTACATTGTACCAAAAAAATGCCACTCAAAAGCAAAACCTTCCAAAGTAACTTCCTTTAGTTATCACCTCAATCAATTCCTTGATATATTTCTTGTGAATTTAGTTCTTCTTTTTCTCAAACACAAATGCATGTCTTCCCACTTCCCACCCTCTTCTTCCCCTCCCCCTCCCCTTCCCCCTCCCCTCTCCCATGCAATTTGGGCATCTCATGAATAAATACCTAGGAGCCAGGTGTTGTTGCTGAGCAGGGTTTTATTTATTTAAAAGACTATTTATTAATTTTTGTTTTAATCTCTATTTTTAATTTTTAGCTCAGTGCCAGAGAAAAAGTATACATATATTTATTTGTATACCTCCATGGTAGAATTATTATTGAAAATCTCAGTAATGTTGACTTTCCGTTTAAAAAAAGAGAAAATGAGGTCAGAAAAGTGACATGAAACGTCTTCAGCTACCCTGTAAAGTATTCATGAAAGCATTAGGCCACTATTTGGTGTGTGTTTGGTCTGCTTTTCGTGCTGCAATTTTTTCCCTCCAATATCTTTTACTTTCCGGGTCTGGTTTTTTATCTGGGTTTCCATCTGAAGAGAAAAACTTTGTTTCTAGTGTCCAGGGCCTCACTCTCTGCACAGCCAAGACACATCCCATCAATCTTTGCGGATAAACATTATGGCGGCTGTGCCTCGAGCCATGCGGAGGAGAGTTCGGTCCCGCTCAACGTACAATGTACGTGATTTTGCTTTTTGAAAAGCTTTTTTTCTTAATTTTAACCGCACAGAACATTTTCTCACATCTAGTCGGATGTAACATGACTTAATTCACTTTTTTGATGGCTGAAGTCTGGAAACATTCTGGATAGTGCATCAGCGATGACCTCAATCATAAAGACTTGCTGGCAGGTAAGATTTCCGTATTTGATTATCAGAGACATGGTCAAAATTTATTTTCAAATTCAGCCTTTAAGTCACTCAAACTAGCGTATTAAGGAGCTCAAACACAGATGCTATTGTGAAACTGATTGTAACCGGACTTTGAGAGTTGTTTTCTTGTTTAAAGGTGTTTTACATATAACCAGTAGTACTTGTATCATGATTCTTGCCGCCGTCCATGAGTAAAAAACGTCGGTACTTAAGTTTCCAGGATAGCATTCTGGAAACCGAACGTGCTGTGGTGTTTGAAACAATCCTTTTAAAATTGGGTGTCAATGTAGTCGTTTGAAGGGGAGATCATGCTTGTTCTCTTTGTGACTCAATGCATGGTTGAATAGCTAATGCTGTCGTTTATTAGGGTAAAATTTACCCTCTTCTCGTAAACTTTTTTAGTGTATATTGTTTTTGGTAATGGAACAATTTAGATTTTACTCAGTTGTCAAGGTTGCTTCTATTTTGAATTGAGATAGACAAAATAATCCACATTGTGACAAATAGCTTACTGCCTCATGTCTTGTTTTAATTTCTTCTTTTTTCTGTCTACTGTTCTGTCTTATTCCATGATGTATCTTCTTTAACAATTGTGAAGAAGCCCAGCATAAAATGAATGTTAGACATGAGATTTTTAAATCTCTTCAGGATCACTTGGCAGTTCCTCATCAACTTATAATAGTTTGGATGGTATAGGTTGTCTAGACTTTTTAAATTTTCAGAAAAATTAATGACTACCAGCCATTTACTCAGTTGAGAATTGTGACTGGCAGTTGATGTCACTCAATTTCTAAGTATTCTGAGCCAACTTTAACTTAGCATTACAAATGAAATTTATAAATTTCCTCGAAATCACTTGGCAGTTCCTCTTTGACAGAGAGTATTTTGGATTGTATATGTCCTTTGATCTCTAAAACTTTTTTTTCTTATTTAAGAACCATAACTGGCAGAGGACCTTACATAATTACCATGAAAGTGTCAATATTCTAAGAAAGTGCAAACTAAGTGTTTGACATGAGAAAAATACCTGAATGCCAGTCATTTGGTTGTTAGAAAACTTTTACTGGCTCCAGGTCATAAAACTAGTGCAAACAATTAATACAAAACAAAAAAAACTTTACAGTTTTCAACAAAATATAGTTTAATTCTAACCTTAAATCACAAAATTACCATAACATATGTCTTTTTGTAATACATTTGCTTCCCTTTTATGCCCATTTCATTATTTTTTTCACAATCTTCAAAGATCATGTGCTCAAAAGTTTGTTTTTAAGCTTGAGGTGTTTATTACATGTATCTCCTTTACAAACTCCATTTCTTTGGTTGCCAATTTCTATATAACTATAGTCTTTTGGGTGCTGTTTTATCTGTAAATATGAAATTTTGGCAAAAGAAGAAGCAGTTTCACCTATAAGATGTGGTCTGAAGCACATACTTTAAGCAGCTATTTTGAATTCTTCTTTACCCATTTCAAACCTTGTGACCACATAGCTTAAAAGGTCTGTTGAACTAATGTGGGTTGTGTATCACATTTTCTTTTTGTTAGAAACCTAAGGTTTTAACACTACATTTAAAGAGGTGATAAAATCTGGTCAATGAAAGTCAGCATAGGACAAGGTCCAAAACATTGTTGTAGCTCCAACCTGAGTTATGATTTATTGCTCATTCAAATGTTCACTGGAATTGTACAGAAGATGATTTAATCAACTTTTCTACAATTCCAGTGGATATTTGTTTCAGAAACATTTAGTTGGTTACATTATGTCTTATCTAACATCACACTAACTTCTTATAAAAAAGAAAATTGTATATATTAAATAAATATTATAAGAAATAATATAGAAAGAAAATTATGATTTGAGTCATCTTCATATAATTAGCTAAAGCCTATTAAAAGTAATTTGTTAAACAAGCAACCAACTCAGAATTTAAAATGTCTGGAGGTAAAGGGTTCCACTTATGGACCACATATAGCTATTGGAAAAACATAAAACTTAAAAATATCTTAATTAGTTTTTTGATATTCTATATTTGATTGCATGGCTTTCATTAGAGAATTAAATATATGTAATTACTTAGTTACAGTACATGTTAATTATTATTTAACAATACAAATGTACATGTTTTCATGTATATAGGTGGCTTGAGTGCTATTTTAAGTGGGTTGCAATTGCATGTTAAAAGGAAACTATTACTTTGGCTTTTACATATCATATACATGTATAATCTAATAATATTATTTTAACTTAATGGGATAACTTCAATATTACAAAAGAAATCAACCTACAACATCATCTGAGGACTAAAACTAAGAAGTTACTTAGGGAATATTTCAGGATATAACATGTTCACAGCTGCAAAATTTGCTAGAACTAGTTAAAAATTTCAGAAAAGCTAGACCTTTTGATTGATTTTTTGATTGTCAATATAAGAATCTTCTTAAGTAAAATTTCAGATCTTTTTGTTTCTTTTTTAAATTGTTTTTTTAAAGATTTCTTAATTTTAATGGCCTTTCCAAACTTTTTTCTAATTCTAGAGAAAGAATGCAATTGAATTGAGAGTCTAGAGCTTTGTTTATAAAAGTTGTTAGAAGTAGAAGATTGGGTGTTGTAAGATTGGATCTTAGAAATATCTCGGAAGAGTTCTAGTATGCTACATGGTGCATTTCTTTGTCTGAGTAGCTGCAAGTTCATAGGAGGAGGGTTGCAACCATGCAACATCAAAACACCAGCATGAGTGAATAGAGGAATTGCACTGTAGTTGCAGTCAGGAAAATAAATAAAATGGAGAGCAGGGTATTGGAGATTGAGAAGCTTGTGAATGTACAGTCTACATACTTGGCCCCATGCTATTAGCCCATATGTTAAATATGATGCCATAAGAGAATGATATATGCCTAAGAAAGGATGTGTTTGTGCAAAATATCATATCGTATATGTAGTGAGGCGAATTTTAATTGCTACATGGTCAAAATTTCACAGATACTCATATAGGAATACATATCTCTCTATATGGGAGCTTGTTATTAGTAGCAAAACTGACATGCATACATACACACAACACAATGACTGAAAATCACAACCTGAGGATATGCAATGACATGCAAAATTATTCGCTATGTTTAAAACTGAAAATAAATTACAATAGAGGTTTAAGCTTCCACTTCTTATGAAACTTGTTTAAACTTCTAGTCTTACCAGCAAAATATACAACTTAGTTTCATACTTTTTGCATAACATGACCTTAAGTAGCTTGAAAGTAGATTTCATATGGTTTCTCTTGTACTGACATGGTGCCTATTTTCCAACCAATTGAAATAAAATTATTTAAAATATTGTGACCTTTTCCAAAAAAGCTTACAATCATTTCTTTTAAAGATGGAGTACAATGTAAAAACTTCTTTCATATGTTCATACCACAATGATTCAAGGTTCATCCAAAGTGTTTGTGAAAATGGGCAGAGATAAAGTAAGTCTTCTACCTGTAATTGTTCTCTGGAAAGACTACAAAAAGTGCAGACATCTGATCCTGCTTTTCCCTTTTTTTTTTTAGTAACATATCCGTGCAGGTTATTTTTTTAAAGTAATATGAATAGAAAATCCCTTAGAATTGTTCAGTTGGTGGAAGGTAGATCTTAGGTAACTCTTTATGACTAGAATTTTAAGAAACACATGCACAAACATGTCATGCAAGTAATGGAGAGCAACAAAAAAAATTGGAGAGTTTGCGAGTTCTTTCGAATTGCATGATGAAGAGATTAGCGTTGAAGTGATCAGTCAAAGGCTGCTTTTAGTGCTATTTGTTACCCCATATAAGCCAGTTTACTCCCTCTGAAACCAATGGTCTTGTATATAAGCTGCAACTATGGTAAAAAGATGCAGCTTTTACATTAGTTTTTACTGTAGTTGAGTTGTGTTTTCCTTTCTTTAATTTGTGATGTAGTATAGAATGAAATTGAAATCACGTTTGTAGAGAATTACATCTTTTTGTGGCAGAAAAATTGACAGACTGGCTGTTAATCTTTTTGACTTAGGACAGACTAATGTAAAGTCTAGGATTGCGGTATGTTTTGTTTACTTCAACAAGAAGAGCACCCCAGCAATTCAGAATGATATCCATGCCTGAGTTGGTTGTTTGAAGGTTGAATAACTTAAGGTGGATCTATGCAGTGGATAAATTGCTATCCATTTTTCTCTCTCTTTTTTGAGAACTTCCAAATTTTTCCAAATTATTTCTATGGCTGGTAGGCAGCAAAACAATTTGTCTTTCACCTCACTTTTCTTGTGCAAGAACTGAAATTTGGAAAACTATCATTCAAGGACAAGTACAAGCAAAAGCATGTGCTCACAGTGAGAAAAACCTGAGCATGAGGATGCTTGCAGAATAAACTAAATGGCAGATTGAATTAAGAATTATGTCTTTTATATACTTTGATTATCAGAATCTTTTTTCTTACATTTCTTCTTAAGCTTACATTTATTTGTATAGAAGATTTATTTTCCAATATTCTTAACCACCCCTTCCCTGGCTTGTTGAAACCTTGCAAAATTAAGCCTGCAAATGTTAACAGTGGAACCGTAATCTTTTTTTTTACCTTTCAAAAGGTATTTTTCAAAACTGGTCAAATTAAACATGCACATAACTACATTTTATTAATGCTGCCAACAGTGAAACACTTTAATTTATATTGTAGAGCTAAAAAACATTGTTTATATTTTCTTTGTTTTCTTCCCAGGATGGAAAACAATCTCCTTCCAGTCTCCCTGGGTTTCTGGTAATAATGCAACTAATTTTATGAGATAAGTATTGATATAAATAGTATACAATTGTGGCATACTCTTAACGAAGAGCCTGAAAATGTACACAATTAATCTGGCTTTTTGCAAGAAATGGGCAACAATAACTGTTTTGGACACTGGACTGTCTTTATGCACTGATCAGGTATTTGACTTTGTACAAGAGATGGGTACTTAAAACTGACCCACTA